AGCCATCCGATGACTCCATAGCAAAATTGCGACTCGAAAAATCAAATCATAATCCCCTTTAAACTCTCTAAACACAAGCAAAAAACTATCCCAAACACAATAGCTGTTTTAGCTGCTAAAGTTCAGTTTTTTATGACTTCATCATATTGACAAGCATCGGCTCGAAGGATCAAATCATAAGCCCCTTTAAAACTCTCTTAAACAATAGCACAAACACCTTAAAGACAATAGCTGTTATAGCTGCTAAAGTTTAGTTTTTTTTTACGACGTATCCAAGTATCGAACATCAAGATTCAGACACGAAAAGCTTATGAAATCATCCCCGAAAAATTCCTGTTCCGACAAATTTAGATCAGAAAATCTGGGCCAAAATCGAAAAGGGAACCTTGAACAGTGAAAGCTAGCTGGTGGGACATCAAATTGTTCGAGAGGCTACACCTAATCACGATTCAAGAAAACATCCACAAAATTACAGAATAAATTGAAGAATAAAATTACCTTAACAACCAACAGCGGCTTGAGAAGGACAAGCTAACAGCAAACGCCATATCTGCTTGCTCTGAGTGCGTGCTAAGTTTGATTAGCTTGATGAGTGAACTATAAAGAGTAACCAAGTTGTTAGATATTTACAAGAAAATAATTTTATTGCACCTAATATAGTTATCAAAAAATAATTTTCTAAATTCCTAATACTCGAGCTTAACTCGTGTATTAATGTTATAAACTCGAGCTCGAGCTCGAGCTTGAGCCTTAAATTATTGAGTTTTAAAAGATTTAAAAAGAATATATTTTTTAGTTTTAACGAGTCAGTTGACTCGCCTCGTGTCATTAAGTAAATAAGCTCGATTTCGAGCATTAAATGAGTTATTGTTTATAGATTCAACTAGTTTTTATTTGGTTTTATTTTTAACTATAGTTAATTTTGAAAAATAATGGTATGGTTAATTGGTAGTGGATATATTAAAATTATATTTAAATAAAATAATTAAAGTTGATTTGATGTAAAGTAAGAGAAAAATGATTGGAAGTGATGGTTAATTAAAATTATGTGAGTGGATGAATAGTGAATTAAATTTGATGTGATGTGTAATAATGATTAGTTGATATTATTTAATTATACTGATAATATTGGAGATAGTGAAGTTCAGTTAATTTGAGTTTTGAATGATTTTTTTACTGCTGAAACAATATCCAATCGCCACTGAATCGAACTTACGAGCAGACTCGTTTCGTTATCGTGAGTAGTCTGAATGACTTAGGCTATGTTTGTAAAAGAAAAATCTCAAACCAAATTAATTTATACTCAAAATCTAACTCAACCCCATTATTCTCATTATTATCATATAATTAAATAATATCAATTCATCATTAATAATAAGAATTAGTCATTTTTACATATCATATCAACTATAATTCACTATCCATCCACTCACATAGTATTAATTAGTCATCACTTCATATCATCTATCTCATACTTTTACATCAAACCAATTTTAATTATTTTATTTTAAATATCTTTTTATATAAATTCATAATCACACTAACAAAACTATACCACCTTTTCTAAATTAAGTTAACTAAAAAAAAATCACTTTGATTTAATTCACTCAAATTAATTCTTTTACAAACACACCCTTAATGAAGAGAAATATGATGTATATTGTTTCTTCTTATTGGTAAATGATAATAATTTAAAATTTATATCAACTGAATCTAAAATGTTGAAACTTGAAAGGAGCTGAATAGGACTAGTTGTATCCCATATATTAGTTGTCGCTATACGGGGTTGAAGAGCCCAATCGGCCCAAGAGAGCTAAATTACACTGGGCATAGCATTGTATTAGGGTTTTATATGAAGCCCAATATACGGTAGAGATGGGCTCTCCGGCTCTCCCATGATGTTTGATAGTTTTTGAAATTTTATAAATAATATTCATATATTAAATAAGTTATTAAATTACATACATTTTTTTGATGATTTTATGTTTACAAGTTCACTCTATTATTATGAGTGTGGTTACTTTTATGTGATGGTTAATTTATTTTTATTTTTATATAATTTAACGATTCATTTTAATGTAAATATGTAATAGAATTAAAACTATATAATTATATATATATATGATATGTACATATACTATTGTTACCATATATATCTTAAATTTTTTAGTATACATGTAAATTACAATTAATTTCAAATGAATATCTACTACAGCTTTTGAGAGATGAAGTAATGAGTTCTATTGCCTCTAGGGCGTGAAGTAAAGTGGTAACTAGTGGAGGGTGAAATTCTCTTTGAAGCTAGAAGTCACGAAATCGATCCTGACTATCGTGAGGAGTGTGCCTTAGTGAGTGAGACATTGCACTTTTTATGGGAGAATTAGTCCCACCCCTTTTGCGTGGGGATCCCCTAGGCGTGATAGGCCCTTTACTGTGAGTTGGTGAGCTGCAGCGGGTGGCGAAGTCGTGAAGTGAATGTGGGTATACCTCCCAACCGATAAAACAATAATAATAATAATATAATAATAATAATAATAATAATGAGTTCTATTTACATAAATTACTAGAATAATTTAATTTCATCCCACATACAATCCTAATTTTACTAATTGAAAGCTTTGAATTTTTATTTTAGGCACTCTAATTAAGGACATACACATATCTCTACCTTTTTTTTTAATTAAATAAATAATTGTAACATAGGGTAGATAAAAGTGAAAACTTGGTTTTAGCTAAATTGATAACTAGGCAAATGTCTAGGAACAACAAAAAGGTGAGACAATGGTCAACCACCACAACAAAAAAGTAGCAAAAGTTTAATCTTTTGACCCAATATTATATAGCAACAATTCACCCAAAAATAAATAAATAAATAAATAATAAAAAAATTATTATATAAACTCCAAGTCATCAAATTTCAAAGCTACTTTTGTAACATTTGATCTACTTTTCCAATATTGAAAACAAGATTCCCACTTTACATTTTCCCCATATTTAAACACAATATATACATAAAAAAAAGAGT